GTATTTTAGATGAGAGGTTATTAGAAACATTTCAGGTGTGCTCACTTTTTAGTTTCACAGGCGCAATCAATAGCTGTGCAGTGATCAAACTGCTTTCAGTATATTAACTAGTCTGGATCTGAAACTCAAACTGTCATTCACACTCGTCTCATTTTATCAATAACATAATGCTGCTACAATTTTCCCCCTGATTCCAGTACATGAGAGCAGAGAGTAATCAGCTCCGTGCTGTTCCCCTACCATGCATTTGGATATGTATTACATGTGCACTGATGTCAGGATTAGCCTGTCCTGAATCCAGAACAACACCTTTCAGAAATTGCCTGGCTCTGTCTCCACCTCCCTTCCTGTCAACAAGATGGAGAGGAAAGGGGATGGACAAACACTTTTTCTGTGTGTGTGGATGTGTGCAGTCAGTCTGCACAATGTTGCATCATTCTGGCTGGGCTGAAAGGCTGCTATGATGTAACTGGCAGTAATACCTCCAGACTGACAGAGGGAGAGAGAGAGTACATGATACTGAGAAGAGAGAGAGGTTAGTGGAGGGAGAAAAAAGAGAGAGCAAGCAGGAAAGTAGAGAGGAAGCAAAGAGATGAGAACTTTTTGTAAACTAAAAATGAATGTACACATTGTCCTCTGTAAGCTGCTTCAGAATGCAACAAAATGGTTCTTGCATGAACAAAAAACCCATTTTTTTTTCCATACAGTAAAAAAAAAAAAATTGACAGTTTCACTCCACGTACAAGATTGATTTGCTTCATAATGGATACAAGCAAACCAAGTTGTCCCAGGATACAACTGACTTGAACAAAGAAAATCACTCTATTATATGCCTCTTTCCCAAAGAATGTAGCCTTTTTCCCAAGGATGTCTATTGGTGACGGCTAATGTCTGATAAACAATAGTCATAGCACATCTGATGCCCAACTCTCACTGAGACAGCCTTGGTCTTTGAAATGTGCTTAGTCATGGCAAAATGAATAACAATTCTCCTAACTTAGGTGAGACAGCCAGGGTGTGAATACATGAGGATGAGGACATAAAATACTATACTGCTTGCATGTAAAAATAAACATGAAATATATATCTATAATTTGCTTCATGTACATTCCCCCCTTGAGTGACTCTTGTCACTCACAAAA